GCTGCCCGCCTCCCCTAATTCCGATGGTGGCTCTCTTGTGCCCGAGAGGACTCTCTCTAGGTCTCCTTAAGTGGAAACCTAATTGCTGGCCGGAGCCCCCCTCTCTCCTTCCCCAGCTCTTTCAAGTTATCTAGCACGAACCAGTGTTTTGGATCGGTGTTGAGGTTATTGAAGCAAAATTTGCTCATTGGGAAGATAACTTGCTGTTTAAAGGTTTCTGGATTTTGACTGGGAGAAAGGGATTTTTTTATTTTTCTTGAGATTGGTTTACTGAGTTGGTCACGTTACATTTAGCGTCATGGCGTCTTTACTGCGTGACCATCACCGTGTGTTGGCTGTAAGCCTTCAAGCATCCGTGGAGTGGTGGCTCGCATACTGAACTCGGGCAGTGTGTGATTAATTTCCAGCCGTTTTACACGTTGACGGCACATTACCAGATGGCAGAGCGTACCGTTTGGGGCCATGTAACCCAGCACCCTGCGGCAATGGCCGCAGCAGATAAAGGTGTTTTTCTCGTGAGCAGGGGGTCTAGAGGTTAAGTGCTTAGGCACTCAGTGGGCCAGCCCGGGTCCTCTCTCATGAAGCCTGCCTCCTTCCCTCGCAGCTTCCTCAGGGTGCCAGTGGGTGGTGTTTAGCCCGGGCCCCAGGGCCTTGGATGGACGAGAGGACTTGGAAGGGGAAGCAAGCGTGGCTGGTTTGAAGGGAATCTGCTTTCAGATCGTCATCTTCCATTTGTCATCTTTGAGGCAGCACATTTGGGTCTAGGACTTCTGCAGATTCTTCTGTCCGCCTTTTCCCCATGACAGTCCTGTCTTGCCACCGAGCTCCCTGGGGTGTGGCACCCTGGGGCCTGTGGAAGAGCAGTTTTCCAGAGCCCCAGGCCTAGAACACTTGAGAGGGCTGGCTTCGGGGAGGCATTGGGACCGCCTGGGACACTTGCCTGCTTTGCCTTCCTCCTGCACGGGTTTTCCTAGGGGGCCGTGTTGGGAGGTTCTGAACCGAGATACAGCATAGAGGGGGCCGGGGGGTGCAAGCCGCGTTGAAAGAGCCCGGACCTTTCCCACGCTTTCTGCTCTGGTCCTGGCATGAACCGCTTTTAAGGAGAGCATCCCGTGAAAGCCACGGTGCTCATACGCGCAGCCCGAGCAGTTCCTTCTAGCTGCTGACGTGTGTCTGCAGCCCTGTTAGGTACCAGCCTGAAGGTACGCCCTGAAAAGAGAATGGATTTGATTCCTTTTAGATGAAGTGCGTGCTAATACAGTAGCTAAAACCAGTTTAGCTTACGTGTATCCTTAAGTATTCTAGTCATAGTCCCTCTCACTTCCTGTTATAGAATCAGTACCTCTTACATCCCTTTAACGATAATATGATCATATTCTAGTTACTGACTTGTTTTTCAGCAGTGTGTACCGTTGTCTTTCGTTAGGTATAAAGGAAACATATAATGCTGTTCTTTGGGAAAATTAAGTGGGATCTAGTTCTGATTTTGTTCTCACATTTTTGCTTCTATTCCCCCCGGTTGCGTGGCAGACAGCCCATGTCTTGAGGAGATTCGATGCTCTGATCATACTTCTTGCTTCGTAGGTAACAGAGTATGCTCTGAGCAGTTACCATTGAATCATGATGAAATGAATGAGGAATGGCTCAGAACGACCTTGCTTTTGTCTTACACAGCTGGGTCATAAGTATTAGATATACATATTTAAACCTTGCTTTTAAAAGCAGCTTAAAAAGACACGTTACTTGGTGCTTTCCTTCATGGTGATTTTCATAACATCCCTTGGTCCATGTTGTAGTGTGTTTACTTGACCTGAAAAATGAAATCGGACCTTCAGTGAGAAACAGGTGCGTCCTGAAGGTGCAGACTGGCTGGCCACCCGGGCTCAGTGACGTAGTCGCCCTACATCAGATGAGCTGGGTTTGCAGCCACAGAGTGTGTAATTATGATGAAATTACATTTAAAGCACAAGCGTTCGTCCGTAATGTTTTTTTAATTGGCAGACGTGTGTTGACCACGTTGGGAGTCTAGGAGTGAGTAACACCCAAGCCTCCTGGAAAACAGCCGTCACTCTGTTCTTGATACCTTTCCAGTGCAGTTTTATTTTTCATATTTCATAATTATCAGGGTTTCTAGTATGTTCTGTTATTTTGGTTGGGTTTGCATTACTAATTGCAGTGGTAATGCAGGTTTTTGGATGAAGATTTTAGCTCCTAGAAAGTATATTGAAATAAGTTTTTAAACTAAAATTTTATTTTGCGTTTTTTTTTTTTTAATTTTTTTTAATGTTTTATTTATTTCTAGGAGAGAGAGAGACAGCGTGAGCAGGGGAGGGTCAGAGAGAGAGGGAGTCACAGACTGAAACAGGCTCCAGGCTCTGAGCTGGCAGTCAGCACAGAGCCTGACGCGGGGCCCGAACCCACGAACCGCGAGATCATGACCTAAGCGAAAGTCGGACGCTTAACCGACTAAGCCACCCAGGCGCCCCTATTTTGCGTTTTTAAAGTTCATTCATTTATTTTGAGAGAGAGAAAGAAGAACGCACACAAGGAGGGGAGGGGCAGAGAGAGAGAGAGAGAATCCTAAGCGGGTTCTGCATTGTCAGTGCAGAGCCTGACACGGAGCTTGAACTTATGAACCATGAGGTCATGACCTGAGTCTAAATCAAGTGTCAGACACTCAACCTACTGAGCCACCCAGGTGCCCCCTAAAATTTAATTTAATTTAGCCTAGTTTAATTTAGTTTAGAGAGAGAGAGTGTGAGTGGGGAGAGGGGCAGAGGGAGAAGGAGAGAGAGAGATAGTCAGTCTTAAGCGGCTACATGCTCAGTGTGGAACCCAGTGCGGGGTTCGATCCCGTGGTGCTGGGATCATGACCTGAGTCAAAATCAAGAGTCAGACACTCAACCAACTGAGCCACCCAGGCGCCCCTAAAATTTTAATTCCTGTACATATTTTTATCTCAGGGAAATATGCTAGGGTCATTCAGGCCTTCAGAGCACATAGCAGTGTGTTCAGGTGAAATTCAGAGTGGAGTGGAACGGCAGGCATGTTCGGGGGGAACAGGGAGCCACACGGAGTCTCTTACTGTTAAAGAAGAGCGAGTGGGTCCCGCGCCTCAGCCTTGCCGCCTCCCCCTCGTCCCAGCCCTGCTCTGCTGTCCGAAAGCACGCAGAGCAGTCGGCAGAAGCGTGGAGAACGGCCAGGCCTGGGCCAGCAGGAGGGCTTGGGTTCCCCGAGGCAGAGAACCTGGCAGACGGCGGCGAGAAGGAGGGACTCGGCCTGTGATGGAACTCCGTTTCCCTGTGGCAGAGGGGCCCCAAATGCGCCCCCTGGAAAACCGAGGCCCGTCACAAACGTGAAGAGTCCCTCGAGCACCCGGCAGGGAAGTACCAGGCTGCGGGGTGGAGTTTCGTGCCGGCTCCGTGCACTGGGTGCAAATGTGCAGGGCATGCGGGGGCCACCAGGTGGGCCACGCGCAGGATCAGGCAGGCAGGGGTGCGGCGCCCACGCGCGGGATCGGGCAGGCAGGGGTGCGGCGCCCACGCGCGGGATCGGGCAGGCGGGGGTGCGGTGCTCATGGGCAGTGCAGAGCGGGGCCACGGAGCCGGGACATCTAGGCCAGTGCTGGCCTCAAGATGGGAGGAAAACTCACTGCAGCGGGTGGCCCATCTTGTGTTCCAGGGTTGGCCGTCTCCGTTTAAAATGGAAGCTTAGAGGGGCGCCTGGGTGGCTTAGTCGGTTAAGCGTCCGACTTTCGCTTGGGTCATGATCTCGCGGTTCGTGGGTTCGAGCCCCGCGTCGGGCTCTGTGCTGACTGCCAGCTCGGAGCCTGGAGCCTGTTTCAGAGTCTGTGTCTCCCTCTCTCTCTGACCCTCCCCTGCTCACGCTGTCGCTCTCTCTCCTAGAAATAAATAAAAAAAAAAACATTAAAAAAAATAAAATAAAAAAAAATAAAATGGAAGCTTAGAGTACGAGACCTAAAGGAAGAACGCAGCCTCTCACGCTTTTCCTCTTTTCCCATTAGATCATGGGACATTTTCACAGAGAAAGGCTTTCTAGAAGTTCAGCAACTCCTTCAGTTTCACTTATTCAGTTTCACTTGTTCCTCTTCATTTTATTAAATTCAGCAAAATAAAATGCTTGTGTTAACATTAACTTGCCCGGTACGGGTTGTAAGATCGTCCTTACAAAGCCGTTGATGTTCACGCATCCAGGGCTGCGTGGACGCAGAATCAACAGCACCTAAGACTCCTTGGCTCTCACCATGAGCCAGGCACCGTTCCGCACTCCTAGTACGCACTGACTTATTTAATCCTCCCGACACTGTGAGGTAGGGAGTATCGTCCCCATGTCGCAGGCAGGAACACTGAGGCCAGAGCTTGGGCTTCTTGTGCAAGGTTTTCAACGCAGCGCACCGGTGCCTGGGTCCCCGCTGCTCACAAACCACACGAGTGTCAGAAGAACCCTTCCTGGGTGTCCCGATCGTTTCTTTCTTCTTTGTACCGAAGTCTTCTGACAAGTGCGCATTTACGAGCTCAGTGAGGCGATGACTTGTGAAGAGGAAGCTGGACGGAAAGCCCCCCGGAGTGTTTGCCGGCGATGGGGCACAGGCGCTGTGGTGCCCATGGGGGGACGCGGCGGCCGCTTTCTTCCCTTCCCCGTTTCTGTGGCTCTGCTGCCCCGCCCGGCGGCTGTGCTCCGCCATCTCCAGGATCTCCCGTGTGGCTGCAGGGTCGGGGCCGCAGGGCAGGGGGAGCCTCTGCCCCCACGAAATGGGCTCCCGGGCTCTGGTTGCTGCATGACCGGAAGACACGTCCGAAACTTTGCTCAACTTTCTAATTGACATCTTGGCTTTTCTCATCTCCTAACCCCTCCCCCCCAGAGCCTCCCCATTGGCTGGTCTTAAGCCTGCAGGGCTGTGCACGGTGCCAACGCGAAGGCATGGCCGCCGGGAGGGCAGGGGCCTGTACGTGGCATGTGCTTGGTCTGTTTCATCTTAGGCGCGTCGGGGTCTGCTCAGAGGAAAGCGAAAGGTGGCAGAGTCAGCCCTACCCACGTGTACGCAAGCCAGACTGGCTGGTTGTGCGGGAACCTCGTGGTGCCCGGTGGAAGTGTGCCGGGACCAGCTCCAGCCGCCGGGGTCCAGTGTGTCCAGGTCCGGTTACTGCAGGTAAGACCCACCGAGCCAGGAGGAGGCTGGGCGCCCCGGGGCGCTGGCTGGGCGGGATCTGGGGGCCAGGCTTCGGGCCGCACCTCCCTGGGCTTGCACCCATAACGCCCCCCGCCCGGTCGCCAACCATCCCAAGTACTCTCTCTCTGTCACCCCAGCTCCGAGCTTCCATCGTTACTAGATCGACGCTTCGGCGTCTGGTGCCCCCTGTGCCCGGTGCCCCGTGCAATCTGGCCACACCTGACTTGGAGTTCTGTGATGTGTAGGTGCCGTGCCCTAGGGCGCCTTGTAGTGCGGGACTCCTCCCCCACCCCTGCGGGCCCTTCCCCAGGCCCCACTTGTCTTCCCGGGGAGGGGCTGCAGGGCCTTCCTCCGCGGCCTAGTGTGGGGAGTGCTCCTGTGTGTGTGTGGGTGCTCCTGTGGGAGTGCTCCCGTGTGTGTGGACTGCTCCTGTGTGGGGGGGGTGCCCCTGTGTGTGGGGGGTGCTCCCGTGTGTGTTGGGGTGCCCCCGTGTGTGGGGGTGCCCCCGTGTGGGGAGTGCCCCCGTGTGTGTGGACTGCTCTTGTGTGTGGGGGGTGCCCCTGTGTGTGCGGGGTGCTCCTGTGTGTGTGGGAGTGCCCGCGTGTGAGGAGTGCCCGCGTGTGTGGGGGTGTCCCCGTGTGTGGGGGTGCCCCCGTGTGAGGGGGAGTGCCCGTGTGTGTGGGGGTGTCCCCGTGTGTGGGGGTGCCCCCGTGTGTGGGGGTGCTCGGCGCAGCCGGGGACGTGGCCTGTGCGTGTGTAAGGGGCTTCCCCCGGGAAAGCTGGCCCCGTCGCAGAAAGGCGCGGGTTGCACGGCGAGGAGCCGCTGTTTAAGGGACGCCCGGCGGAAGGCGCGAGCTGTGAGGTGGAGACAGCCAGCTTGCCCTTCCCGCCTGCCCCTTGCCACTGGGGTTGTCTGGGGCAAGTTACTCCCGCTCCCTGGGCCTCGGTTTTATCATCTACGAAGTGGGAAGGAGAGTGCTCGGCAGGGAAGGGGTGAGGGGTGTCGACAGTGGCGCCGGCACCAGGAGCCGGGTGGCGGGGCGGTGAAGGGACACGTTGGCCAGTGTCCCTTTGCTCACTTGTGTGATTCGGGGCCTAGGAGCCCCTCCCCCGCCCTGCAGGAGGCCCGTAACCTCCTGTGCCTTCTGGACGGGGGCCTGGGGCAGGGGGGCCTGCCCGCGGGTGAGAGGTGGCCGCAGCCTCCGCCGGAGCGGGGAAGAGCCCACAGGAGGGAGCGGTGCTCAGACTGAGGCGGGATTGGCCGTGGGGGAGCCCCAGGGACCGGGCCTGGGTGCGGGGGTCTCAGGCGGGCACCAGACGGGGGACGGAGGACCACGAGGAAGGGTGTGCCGCGCGTGCAGCCCGGTTCCGCTCCCTGCCGGCTCCTGGCGGGGGGGTGGGGGTGGGGTCACAGTGACAGGGCCCTCGGGCCGAGCGTCACCAAGTCACCACGGTTGGTAAATGCAACATGTGCCCTCGCTCCCCCAGGACGACCCCGCAGGCGACACGGTCTCGCCGGTGCTCCGCCCGCAGCTCCCCACCCTCCCGCCGCTGCTCGCCGTGGGCGCACCCGTCTACGTCCTGCAGGTCTGGCCGCCTCCCAGCCGCCGGGGCTTGTTAGGGGGGCCGTCGGGAAGCTCCTGGCTCTTCTGAGCTTGTTACCGAGGGCCCTTGGGTGGAGACCCGTCGGGTTCGCTGCCGGCACCTGCTGCTGCTTTCGAGATAGATGGGGGGGGAGCAAGGAGAGAAGAGGCTAAGAAGAAAGGTCGGGATTGTTCAGCGCCGTAGCTCCCGCTTGTAACGTGAAGCTGAACACGCTCCTCGAGTGCTTTGTGCGAGTCCCGGGCAGCCCGTGGGGTGCAGGCGGGCCGCTGGGCGCCAGGAAGGGGCTTCCCAGCACACAGTGGGCGAAGGGGTTCCAAGTTCAACGAGGACAGCCCCTCTGAGGAGCAGACCTGCAGCGCGGTAGTATTAACCCACTTTCCCTCGCTTTGTTTATGCTAGAATTCCTTTCCCTGGAGAACGTGTAATAAGGGGGAAGCAAGATTCTAGTGCAGAACAGGGAGAGGCGCCCTCCAGGCCGGCCGTGGGGTGTGTGGCTGGATGTGTGTGGCCGCAGGGCTGCCCCCGGGAGGTGGTCCCGCCCCGCCCCAGCCCTGTCACCCCCCTCACTGCTCCCCTTGGTTTTTCAGGAGGTGCTTCCTGCCGCTGGAGGGGCCGCCGGGTCTGAGGACGTGCAGTGCGCCGGGAGCACCATCAACCCCCAGGACCTGCTGTGACAGCAGCCCTCTGCCCGGGGGCCCCCCCAGACCCCATCCCGGGCTCTCGCAGGCCTGAGTGAGCCCCCACGTGGTCTCCGCTCAGGAGGCCAGCCGAGTTCTTTGGAGACTTTAGGGCACGTTTTTCCAAAATCTGTTTCTTACGTGATATCGTGAACCCGTTTGGGGCTGTATGAGCTGCACCTGCCTCCTCCGAGCGGCGTACGGCCTGAGGCGAGGGTTGTGTCAGGCAGAAGCGCACCCCTTTTCCCATTCGGCTGTGCACCCACAGCCTTTGTCCCGTTTGACCCAAGCTGTGGGGCCCCTGCTGCGTTAAAGCCCGGACTTCTGCCGGAAGTCGGGTCAGGCGCAGGTTCCCCAGTCAAGGACCGTTGTGTCCGTAGCAAACCTAAGTGGGGGCTTTGAGCTTAGCTTTGAGCGTGTTAGCATTTGGCCTGAGACGGGCCTGGAAACCATCTCCCCTTTCCGAGCTAACAGGCTGTCCCCCAGCCCCTCGCGGCTCTGTAGTTGGGTTGAGGTTGTCCCCGTGTGGGGCAGAAGCGGTCCCGTTGTCCCAGCGATGGCAAATTCAAATCCGCATTTTGGCAGGACCAGGCGGGTGGCTGGCATGAGGGGAAAGTGGTGGGGGTGAAGTGGGGCACCGGGGGCCCTGTGAGCGGGGCCTCGGCACAGACCAGATCTGGGGCTCATAATTCGGGAAGGCCAGAGCTAAAACTTTAAAGGGAGTTTTTCCAAATTCTGGATTTGGATGTTAACGTTTAACAATAACTCGTCGGCCCTTTCTGAAGTCACGTCCTGAGCCCTGCATGTCGCGTGGAGGCCGGGAGAGGGGCCAGCGTGCTCGCTGCCATGGCTGCAGAGGTGCGCCCGCCGGGTCACCAGGCCTTCGTCCCCAGGGCAGTCTGTCTGGCGGAGCAGGCGAGCTGGCACCTTGCACGTATTTATTTGTGTGTCAGCGGGACCGGATGCGGGGGCACGCAGGATGCTGGCGTTTTTGCCTTGTGCCTTTTGAACTGCATGTTTGTTCAGATGCTGTTTTGGTTCTTGGACTTGGACTTGTCCAAACTCTGTTTTGTGTTTTTTCATTTCTTGGTTTCTGGACTTGGGCTTTTGGGAGTGACCCCACCGTCTGGTTGTGAGTCATCTCTCTGTCCTGCTCCGAGGTGCTGTCTGTCCAGGGAGCTGCTCCACCCAGAGGGACTTGGGCCCCGTTTATCAGTGGTCTTTACCCACAGGACTCTGTGCCGCGCCTTAGCCTCCAGGTCGCCCAGAAGTCCCCCCCCCCCCCACGAGGAGCCAGCCTGCCTGCCAGCATGGCCTTGGGGGCAGGTGGCCTACTGACCACACCGTGCTGTCCTTCTGATGGGGGCAGGGGGCGGGCTGCCGGGACATTCTCCCAGGGGTGTGTCGCTGCACCTTCCCCGGAGCGCCCCCTGTGAGCGCCCACCACTGTGAAGCAACCGGTACTGGCTGTCCGTGTTCTGGGCACGACGCCCCCGGGGGCGAGGGCCCCACGTCTAGTACGGAGGAATAAAAGTTCTTGTATAATCGCGCCGAGGCATCGCTTGGCTTAATCCGCAGAACCGTATGGACGGCATCAAAGTTGTGTTTTTCCTTCGGTCCATCGTCTGCTCACCTGCTGTCTCCTTTTCTCGTCCCTGCGCCGCAGCTAGTCCCCCATCCCAGCTCTGCGTGGACTTGCCCTTGGTCTCTCAAAGCAGCCACCTCCGGTGAGGGCAGCGTGGACACCTTCCCTCAAGCATTTGTCGGGGGGCCAGGGGTTACAGGGCAGGGCACGGGCGTGGAAACCAGCCTGCCTCCTCGCACGGGCCAGCGTGGCACCGGAGAGGGGGAGTTTATTTCACTCGAGTTACGGGGACACACAGCGGGGGGCCGCGGGGGCACGGCCATCCTGCGCCAGCACCGGCCGCGGCGAGCCCAGCGCCCCGGGCCTGCTCCCTGCCGCCTTGGTGCCGCGCCGTGGGCAGAGCGCGGGGCTAGGTGAAGAACAGCAGCTGCTCCTCCTCGCCCTGGTCCCTCAGCACACGCTCGGGCTCCTCCTTTACCTTCAGGACCGGGAGCTGGGAGCGACACACCAGCTTCCTGCCTCTCTGCGGAGTGAGACCCCATGAGCCGGTGCTGCCTGGACACCCAGACACCAGGCAGCTTGGCCCGAGGCTGCCGAGCTGCGGCCGGGGGCCCCGTGGGTGTCCCAGCCTCTGGTCAGCCTGCGGGCTCCAGGCCGCCGCTGCCCTTCCGGGCCTCGGGAGTGCGTCCATCCAGCGTTTAGGAAGCCTGTTCCCTGGGGTGCCGGCCCCTCGCTCTGTGTGTGTGTGTGTGTGTGTGTGTGTGTGTGCGCGCGCACGCCTCAAAACGGATTGGGAGAGACCCGCCTGGGCAGAGGGAACCGACTTCCTTTGCTCCGGGGACGCCAGAGGAGACCCCTGTGTCCGCCACCCCTACGTGACAGCGTGGAGAAGGCTGCTTTTCAGAATGGCCCTTGGGCCTCCTCTGTCTGCCCGGGGCTGCATTCAGGCCTGTGGGGTGGTCGGGGGGACCCCTAGTGACAGCCGATGAGCTGGAATGAGGGGCTGGCTGGAGTGTAGGTGGCACGGTGGGACCCAGCGGGCGCTGAGCTGGGGGCCTGCCCCTGGGCAGGGCCGCAAGGGCACAGCCAGGCCCCTTGCTGCCCAGGAGTGCGTGTGCAAGAGGGCAGGCGGCCCCAGGGGAGGACTCGCAGAGGAAGCAGGTCGGGGGGCGGAGGGCAGCCCTGAGGGGCCGCTCTACCCTGGCCTGGCTCCGATGGCCCCACCTTTCCCCCCGCACCTCAGCAGTAGCCTCTGCAAAGGAGGCGAGCCAGACTGGACTGTGGGCCCTCGGCCCCTCCCAGCCCCACCGAGCCCCTTCCTTCCCTGCGGTGAGCCCCCGCGGCCCCCGTGCCCACCTTCTTCTTGACGTCTGCCTGGGCCCGGGCCTGGGCGCGCCGCAGACGCTCCTCCTGCAGCTGCTTCTGCATCCGCGCCTTCTCTTCGCGCGCTCTGGGTGCCGGGGGCAGCACGGGGCAGATTAGGACCTGGAGGTGCCCGGGGTGGGGGGAGGGGGGGCGGCTGCCAGGTTCCCTTCCTCCCGAGCTCCTTGCACGGCCTTCAGTCACGCCGTGTCCCCCCCGCCCCCCGCCCCGTCGAGAAAACTCCCTGCTCCTCCTCCCTGCCCGGCCAGGGTGGCTTCTGCCCCTGCTCTTTGGAGGTCGCAGCTCCGGTCCATCAGCTCATACCCCTTGGAGGCTCACGTTCCTTGGTCCCCATCCCTGGTCACTGGTCCACCTCTGTGTGGTCATCGGTCCTTTGCCTAGTGCCTGCTTCTACCAGGATACGGGGAAAGGGACCGAGGAAGAGCCCTGTGCTTGTGGGAGGGGCAGATGGCTCTTTGCAGGTGACCGTGCTTCAGGACCCTGCACAGAGCGCGCGACCCAGGCGGCCCCCGGGCCAGCAGCCAGTGTCTCGGAGGACAGGCCAGCCCAGAGCAGGGGCAGGGGCGTGGAGGGCATCCGCGCCCTCAGGGCCCTCCCCACGGGTGAGGCGGCCAGGTGGGGCGGGGGCCTGGGCTCTCACTTCATGCGACGCTCCTTCTCCCGGGCCTTCTCCGCCTGCTCGATCCTGACCGGGGGGACGCGCTCCAGGTTCTCGAGCAGCTCGTTCAGGTGGTGCTCGATGACGGCCAGCATCTGCACGGTGCCCAGGTTGGACTCCTGCCGGCTGCCGATGCAGTGCCGGTACACGTCCAGCACCTTGCGGTTCAGGCTTTCCAGAAGCTTGTCCTGCAAGGCGGGCAGGCCTGCAGAGGGGCGCGTGGGCCCCCGTGCACCCCCGCCCCGCAGCCTGCCCGGCCCCGCCCTCGCCGGGACTCGGCCGGCCTCCCCGAGCTCTGCCCGGCACACTCGGGCTCCGGGAGAAACAGCTGGGACACTTGGATTTTTCTGGGCCACGGCTGCCCGGCCCCCTTGCCCTCTCGTGGTGAGCCGAGTCCGGGCCTCCGGCCCCCACATCGGGACGCACACCTGTGCCTCGGCCTCGGCTCCCGCTGCCGTGCTGTGCACGTGGCCTGGTCCCCTCCTCCAGGGAGCCTTCCTGTTCCGCCCCTGCACCGACCTGGGCTCCCCACAGAGCCCTGTCCCATGAGCTACTTTTTGTGTGGCCTGGGGCCGATGAACCCCGCTCTCCGAGCCTGCCTGACATTCAGAAAGGTCACATCGCCTGCCACACGGATAGGGCGTGAGGAGTAAGTGGGGAACAGCAGACAGAAAGGCTCAGGCCGGTGCCCAGTGAGTCCTCTGTTGCAGGCCTGGTGCTGGCACACAGTAGGTGCTCACGAGTGATGTGAATGAGTCGGGAAGCCGGGGCCGTGCCTGTGGCCACAGGTGCACTGTCGGGAAGGTTGTGCCACTGCTGGAACATGCCCGGCCCCCTGTGCCCTCAGAGCACGGTCACTCTTCCAGCCTGGCCCGGGGACACGCCTTCTTCCTCCTGGCAGCCGCAGCTTCGGGACACGTTGTGTTGAAGCGGCAGACAAATTTGTGGAATGAGAGAACAGGAACGGAGGAGGTGTGTGAACAGCCAAGGGGCACGAGCACACGGGGTGCCTCCAGTTTGGGGACCAAGGGCCTTCTCCGGCCGGGGCCCCTCAGTCAGGCCTCCAGAGCCCGGCAGGTGGCGAGGGGCATGGCTGCCCCCCAGAGCGGTGCAGCGCCCCGGGACTGGCTTTGAGTGCCAGGCACTGGGTGCTCCCGGACGTGCTCTCGAATGGACCGGGCGCCTGGCCCCTGGCGGCCCGCGCTCCCCCCCCCCCTGCTGGCCGGGGGCCTACCTCCTGAGCGCCCTTGTACTTGCCGAAGTGGAAGACTCGGGCTTTGAGCTCCAGCTCGGCCACCATCTCCTCTTCCTTGGCGATGGATATCATCAGCGTGTCGACCCAGTGCTTCAGCTGGTTGACTTCCCTGTCCCTGGAGGGGGGACCGGGAGGGCCCCGCCCACTCAGCGCCGCTCTGAGCCTGACCGCCCTGCCGGCGTCCTGAGGGCTAAGGGACTATGACTGGGAAGTGTCTGCGTGCCCAGGGGCAGAGGTGCTGCCGAGACACGGCATCTTTAGGGGCGCCTGGGGGTGCAGTCGGTTAAGTGCCCGACTTCGGCTCAGGTCATGATTTTGCAGTTCGTGAGTTCGAGCCCCGTGTTGGGCTCTGTGCTGACAGCTCAGAGCCTGGAGCTGCTTCAGATTCTGTGTCTCCCTCTCTCTCTGCCCCTTTGCCTCTTGCAGTCTCTCTCTCTGTCAAAAATATCTCTCTGTCTCTCTCTCAAAAATAAACGTTAAAAAAAATTTAAAAAAAAACGCACAATCCTGTAGTTGTCAGATTTACAAAATTACACTGCCATCGTCATCTCACGTTAGAACATTTTCATCACCCAGAGAAACACAGCTGCCATCAGCACTCATTCCCCATTGTCCGCCCCCCCCCCCCCCCCCCCCGCCATCTCTCCGGAGGCCCCCTCGTTCAGCAGAAGGTTTCCAAAGTCCATTCATGCTGTGGCCTGTGTCAGAACTCAGTTCTTTTTTATGATTGTGTGACCGTCCCCTATATCGATGGACCGCATTGTGTGGAAGTGGACATTTTGTCTCTCGGGAATTAGGCTGCTGTGAACACTCACAGGTTTTTGTGAGGACCTGTCCTAAATTCTGTCGGGCATATATTTAGGAATCGAATTCCAACAATCAGGTTTGAAGTGAAATGATAAAGAATAATACTAAGTAAGAATCTTCCACGATCGTGGCAGACACTGACCATCGTGGGCTGGCTGGCACGGGTCTACACAGTGCGGGCAGCTGCACGCAAGTCCCAGAGTGATCACATGGACATCTGGCCCCTCCCAGCAGTGCCCGGGAGGCCCAGAGGGACCCTGCCACCCTGTGATGATTCTGTGACTGTCTCCCCATTTGTTGATAGGATCCACGGACATTTGCTCAGCCCGAAGCAAAGCACCGTGGGCTGCTGGTCCTTTGCCTGCTGCGGTCAGCAGCCTGTGAGTATGAGGGGGTTCAGCTGGCCCGGCCTGCTCTCCTGGGCTCGTGCGCAGAGGTGGGTGGCCCAGAGAGCCCACGTGCGGCTCCTACGCCACCCAGCCTGGTGCTGGTCCCCTGGGATGATGGCGCAGAGCCTCTCCTGGGTGTCTGGCCCCATTTCCCTCCAACCCAGAGTGCCCATTATAGGGATGAGCACACTGGGGTCAGTGGTACTCCTCCCAAAGGACACGTGACTGCGTTCAGTTTTAACCTGGTTTTTTGTTTTTGTTTTTGTTTTTGTTTTTTTGTTTTTAATTTTTATTTTATTTTTTTTTATTTCTAGGAGAGAGAGAGAGAGAGACAGCGTGAGCAGGGGAGGGTCAGAGAGAGAGGGAGACAGAATCTGAAACAGGCTCCAGGCTCCGAGCTGGCAGCACAGAGAGCCCAATGCGGGGCTCGAACCCACGACCCGCGAGATCATGACGTGAGCGAAAGTTGGACGCTTAACCGACTAAGCCACCCAGGCACCCCTGTTTTTGTTTTTGTTTTTAAATACCCCCTTCACTTTCATTGGTAAGTGCAACCCCACGGCGGGTGCAGCACTGCCCTGTGGACGCGGTGCTGGGGTTTTCGTCATTCTATTTCTTACCAGGGCAACTGGGATAAAAAGACCCCTTTCCCCAAATAGTTCTCTTGAAACGTAAAATCGTTGGGTCACAATCTTTTCTCAGTGAAATCCCGCCAACTGACAGGAATGCAGAAGCGTAAGGGACGCACTGCTCGGCACCGGCCCCAGACCAGGGAGCGTGTCGCTTGCTTGTTTGTCACACGTGCTGATCCTAGGGGAGATTCCAGAGTCTAAAGAGCACGTCACTGCTGGAAGAGTGACCTGGTTTCTTTAACAGCTGGACTGCAGGGGACAACAGGGAGAGGGGACCCCTAGACTGAGAGGGATTTAGCGACACGACCAGTTGCAGAGTACGATCTTACTTGGATTCTAAGTCAAACTAACAGTTTAAAAACTCCAGCCATTGATGGATCATGGATATTCAGTATCAAGGATTGCTGTTTTGTTTTTGTTTCTTTAGATGTGATGATGGTACTGTGGTTCTGTTGAAGAACCCATATCTATTGAGTGCTGTCTACTGGAATATTTCCAGGTGAAGTGATACATGCCTGGAATTGGCTTTAGAGCAGTATGGGAGGTGGAGAAGTCTGTGGGGCCCAGGGCAAAGGAGATCGGCTGTGAGGTGATCACTATTGAAGCTGGTGATGGGCTCTGGCGACTCATGATACTATTCTCTGTACATTTGTACATTTATATGTATGAGATTTTCTTTCTTTTTTAAATTTATTTATTTTGAGAGAGAGAGTGGGCGGTGCGGGGGGGGGGGGTGCCCACACAGAGCCTGATGTAGGGCTCGAACTCACGACCTGTGAGATCATGACCTGAGCCAAGATCAAGAGCCAGATGCTCAACCAGTTGACCCGCCCAGGCGCCCCTGTATGAGATTTCCTTAGCGGTGCTGGGCTGAACTGCAGGCGTTATAAAAAGTTGTTTGAAAGGTAGTAAGAAAGACGATCCCTTCCGAGATACCTGGGGACATAGCCCCAGAAAGTTGACTACACTGGTAGTAACAAAGGAAACACAACCAAATATGAGTAACGATGATTCAAAGGACCAAGTAAAAGAGAGTTACCAGATTCCTGCAGAAATAGCGGCAAGAAGAACAAAAATAAAATACGTTGAAATAGAGAAAGATGGCAGAGTGGAAGCATCAGGGATCTGTCTCCCCACTAGTCAGTGATTGCACTGGCAGAATCTGATATAGCCGTTTTGGAACTCTGGAGCCTTCTGAAAGCCGGCAACCTCCAGGGGAAGGCTTGGACAGTAACTGTAGCTAATTTTAGTCCCTTTCAGCTCTGAGCAGAGTAGCCCTTACCTGGCCACGTGCAGGCAGCTGTTCAGGCTTTCTGGAGCAGCTAGCACATGGCCTTTGGAATTAGGGTGGGCAATAAAATGGCCCTATTCTCCAAAATAATGGGGGAAACCTGTGCCCCGATCCCTGATTGGTGCTTCTGCCCACAGAGGTACAGACAGTGGGCAGGCAGCCACTGTTTTAACATTCCTTGCTGTTGCAAGTCACCTCCACGCTCCCCCACTTGGCGTCCAGGGGATTTAAAGGACCAGTGCTCTTTTTCCTCCCTTCATGTTTTGCCTTTTCCCCTTTGGAGAGCCAGACATTAAAAACCAAGGATGTGCACAAACAGCAACATATATGGGAAAAGTTAGAAAGTGGCCATGCATGCCCAGGGAAAGTCTAAGAAAAGACTAAGGTTACACTCGTGATTCTCAACACAGAGCCATCTACAACATTCAAATAAAAACAGTACACAGTGGAGTAAGGACGAAATCTGATTTCCAGAGTTACCATGTTATTAGATTCAAATGCTGAATGTTCCATCAACAAAATCAAGGCAATGAAGTATGGCCCATTCAGTGAGGAAAAAAAAATTGTGCCCCCAAATCCCTAATGTTAGACATGCCACAAAGACTTTAAAACAACTGTCATAAAAGATGCTCAGTGACTGAAAAGAATATGTCAAGAAAGTGATGTGCAAATAAAATGAAAGTATCAGTAAAGAGATGGGAAAGCTAAAAAGAAAACAAAAAAATTCTGGACCTGATAAGTACAGTAACTGAAACTAAGTATTCACTAGAGGGATTCCAAGGCTGATCTGAGCAGGGAGAAGAAAGGATCTGTGGTCTTGAAGATAGGACAATGGAAACTATCAAGGCTGGGCAACAGAAAGAACAAGATTGAAAAAAGCAATCAGAGTCTAAGGAATTAGTGGGACACCATCAAGAGAATTAATATATGCATCATGGACGTCCAATAAGGAGAAGAGAAGAGAGGGCAGAGAGAAGACTTGAAGAAATAATGGATGAAAAAGCTAGAATTGGATGAAAAACATGAAAGACACCCAACTAGCACAAGAAACTCCAATAACAAGAGGCCAGAGAGCCCCACACTGAGAGAGAATGATGATGATGATTTTATTTATTTTTGAGAGAAGGAGTCAGAGTGAGTAGGGGAGGGTCAGAGAGAGGCGGAAACAGAATCTGAAGCAGCTCCAGGCTCTGAGCTGTGAGCACAGAGCCCAGCGTGGGGCTCGAGCTCACCCATCATGAGATCATGACCTGAGCCAAAGTCGGACGCTTAACTGACTGAGTCATCCAAGCGCCCCCTGAGAGATTATCATAATCAAACTATTATGGGATGGTCAAAAGCCAAAGCCAGAGAATTTTGAAAGCTGCAAGAGAGAAGCAAATCATTACATATAGAGGATCTTCAGTATGATTATCAGATTTCTCATTAAAAATTTTGGAGGTCAGAACTAATATATTCAAAGTGCTCAGAGGAAAAAAAAAAAAACTGTTAACCAAGAATTTTAGATCTGGCAAAACTGCCCTTGAAAAGTGAGGGAGAAGTCAAGACATTCCCAGAAAAACAAAAATGAAGGAGTTTGTGACCACTACACCCGCCCTGCCAGAAATTCCCGGGGGCATCCTGCATCATGCAGTGAAATCAGACATTAACTTAAAGTCGTATGAGAGAATAAAGGTCCCAGTAAAGGTAAAATGAGGGCAATTAAAAAAAGTTGTAATGTTTTATTTATTCTTGAGAGACAGAGTGCAAGCAGGGGAGGGGCAGAGGGAGATAGAGACACAGAATCTGAAACAGGCTCCCGGCTCTGAGCTGTCAGCACAGAGCCTGATGGGCTCAAACTCATGAACTGTGAGATCATGACCTGAGTCGAAGTTGACTCAGTATAAGTTAACATTGGTTTGCAACTGTACCCTTTGTTTTCCAAATGACTTCAGAGACTAATACATATACAGAAAAAATTATTATTAGTGTAAAGGTAGCACTACTGCAACCATTT